AAATTCATGCCAGTTAAAAAATAGTGCAGTTCAACAAATATTACACACATTCATCTCCTTCCATCACATTAATACAGTATATACTTGCTACCCTTAGCTTTCTACACATCACGAAAAATTCTCGATGCATTACCAAACCGACACACAAAACATTGATTGAATCGCAAAAAAAAAATCCCCCATTTCATAAGAACTGTTTTGTTGGATCTAAACACCTTTCAATTTCATAGTAATGCATGGAACCGCAAAACGTATTAAACTCTAAAATTTAAAGATGGAAATTTTCAAAACAAACAATCATTCTACACTCGACACAAAATTCAAAAACACGAAGAACAAAAAAATTGAAAATCGAAGATTTTGTTAGCCTCAACACAAGGGCAAGACAGCCTCCCAAATTAGAACTCCACTGATTCAATTACACAACCAATTTTAATCAATCCGATCCAATAAACACACCAAATCTCAAAATAATCAACTTCCCAGAGTGATCCCCTCTCTGGTAATCAGATGAAAAAAATTCCGGCCAACTTATCCCAAACACATAAAACCCGAGAATTTTTTTATTTTTTTTTAAACGATCTACCGAAGAAGATCCAACCATCAGCGCACAAATTGAAACCAGATAAATCGAAATTCAAACAATGCACCATTGATTTGCATTTGCATGAGCAAAACACACACACAATCAATCAATCGAAAAAGCGAACGGCGAAAAAAAAAAAGAGGGAGAATGAGAATTGAGAATATACCGTCGTCCGAAGCCGCCGATTTCAATTGCGCAGCGACCACCATTTTTTTTTATTTTTTTTTTGTCTCTTCAGAGAAATCCGTCTGTAAACCCTAGACCACCACCCCACTGTAATATAGAGAGAGAGTGTTGAGCTTTTTTGGAAGGTTACTGAAATTTTTTGGGGGAAATAATAATGGCGCCTTGCTTTTCAATTTATTTGGCTACCGCCAATACCAAATCGTCACCTTCTTTAATAATTAATTCATTTATTTAATTGAATAAATAAAAAATCCAAACGACACGTATGCTACATTATTTTTAATTATTAAATTATGAAATTAAAAATTTATAATTGAAATATATAGTTCTACATTGTATTTACTTACATAAAGTATTAACATTGTATGTCTCATCGTCTAATTATTGATATGTGAAAAAAATTAAATATTTCACTAGATGCGCATGTATATTTATATTTCTAGTGATTTTTACAATTTACGATGTGTGTTTTATACGTCAAGTTGAAAATAGTTATTTGACTTCTGGAATGGGATCATACAACTTACGGCTTTCGAACTAGTTATTAATGGTCGACTTAACTCGTACCTAGTTTGTTTGAGATTTTTTGTTAAACGTTTGTTCCGTAAAAACAGTTACTTTTAGATAGAAAATGAGCGAATCAATATTCAGTTTAGCTTAGAACTCATGCGATTTGCGGTTCAATTTATTCGTTTTAAATTTTCATGTTATTGAATTAAACCTAATGAGATTACTATTTAACATAATCACACATCAATATTTTTATAATTTATTATGCTTTTGTGATAAGTTTTTACTAAGTCTTTTATATTAAAAATAAATTTGACATTTTATTTAAAATATAATCAAGCAATAAAAAGAATCATGAAAATTTATATTAAAATAAATTAAGAATTTGAGTATAAATAAAAAGTTTTATTAAAATTAAGGTTGGGACCGGGCTCAGCTGGTTGATAGTTTTATTAAAATTAAATCTTATTATGTACATAGTTTTTTTAGCCAACCATCCATAGAAGTAACCACAAAAACTATTGGCAATTTTGGCATTAAGGATGAAAGTCGAATAGAACAGATCGAAATTATATTTTTTTAGGAGTGTAAATTTTTTTCCAAATTCAATTCCAAAATTTTCGGAATCTAGAAATTCATTCTAATTCCAAAAGTTATGGAAATTTTAAAAATTTCGGAAATTGCATGATTTAAATATATTTAAACAATTTTAAGACTTTCATAAATTTTTAAAAATAAGAACACCCACTTTCATAAATCATAAAAATTTTAAACCTTATAAATGATAAAATTCAAAACTAGAAAATAAGCTAGGTCTTTTTCTATGTGAGAAATAACAAATAAAATACTTTGGCTCTCCAACATGGCACATAAAGTAAAAATTTGTGTGTGTGTGTCTATAAATATTATTCGTGTATTTTTCGGAAAAATTAAAAAAATTCGAAATTAATTTCGGAAATTGAAAATTCCAAATATTTTTTTTTAAATTCCAATTCCAAATCGAAAAAATCGAAAGGATAACGAAATGAAAAAAACTATTCCAAAATCAAAAAAATCGATTCGGAACTGACGAAAAACTGAAAATTCCGGCTCCAATTTCCCCCCCCTAGACCAAAGTCAACATAACTTTTTGTATACGAATTGGGGCCCAAACATAATTTTACCTTGTGACAATGCCTAAATGGTACGGCCCCAGTGGCGGGAGCCCCCCCTTTTGGCAAGGGGTGGGGC